ACAAAAAGTTTTGTAAACTCGTTACTACCAAGCCGTAGTGCAAATGAATATTCATTTTCTTTTGCAATAATTGTATTCACTTAATATTCTTGGAATATGAGCTAAAGAAGGAACGTTCTCGGAAGATTAAAGAAGTGTTTAAATCCAGTGATATAAGGTTTGTCTTAGAAGCTCAGGATCAAAACGATTCTGCAATTGCCTAGTAGTTGACTTGTAAATGGTTGTGAATTAAGCAGATGACTTTTAATCTTACGTTTTCTGTCAGACAACGTATTCCAAATGTTTTGTATTGCATGACAATGCATCTTTTCATTATTCAATAACCAGTCGGAGAACCGCTTGTGTTTCGAAAATAAGTATGTGTACTCAATCGTCCTGCATGTTTTTCAAATTTGTCTTCTTGTGATTTTTTTTCTTTCCCAAAAACTAAAGTTGCCTCTCAAAGGAAAGTTTTTTGATATTGAAGAGACAAAAGGAGTATGACATCTACTTTTAGAGGCATGTCAAAAACAGATCTCTACAAGCCTTCTCTTCCATTACATGTTGTGCAGTCAGACAAAAGTTGCATCAGCGTAAATTCTATAATCTATTTTTATTACACTCTGATTACTTTACTAACATACAGTGAATATATACTAAATCTTTTACTTCGCTTAAGTAATTCGGAATTTTTGACGGAATTGTTGTCGGAACTAGGACTTAGAAGATAGGTCAAATTGAAATATTTCGATAATCCAATAAAATTCAAGGTCGAAGTTTCAATATTTTATTTTCGGAGGGAGGGGAATTTTTTTCAGTTTTGGTCCATTATCCTAAGTATATTTGCTTCGATTCTTTATTTTTTTTTCCATAAAAGCGAAAATCTTACGCATGGTATACATATAACGCATAGCTTCAAATTAAAATTTAATAATATACAGGTGGTTTATAATTAAAGTTCCACATTGAAACGGTCATAAAACAAAAACTACTGGATCAAATGTTATCAAACTTGGTAAATCGTGTAAAGGAGGTCATGGGAATTTATTTTCCGCGAAAAAAAGGGAAGTTCCAAACCTCACCACCAGGGGGAAAATGGCGCTGTATGCAATATTGTTTAAACGAAATATGGGTCGGAATCTAACTTAACCTTTTGTTACACGGGTTTAATATGTTGTATACCCTTAAGAAATTTTGAAGAAAGCAAATTACCATTTAAAAGCGTTAAATTCGATAAAAGTCGAGTGCGCCATCCGTGTAAGTGAGAAATTCGTCCGTGAAAACCACGAATTAGCGATTAGAAAATGTGAGATCGCAAATCACTCGCACAAGTGCGTACAATCTGGAAATCGTTTTCTTACAGATCGCTAATTTGTAATTTTTGAAGCCTGAATTCGGCCCTAAAACATGAAGATACTGATTCAAAACGCTTTTAATCGATTTGGGCCAAAAAAATCCCTCATGTTATCTATCTAGTTCCATTGCATTCTCCTACTGCATTCGATTGCATAGCAGTCATTCCACACCGTTTAGGTTGGAATGACAGCTAGTTTTTATAACTGAACCATTTTTCTCTGAAGAGCAGTCGACAGCTGGACCACTGTGATTGCAGCTCACTTAGAGTCAATGTTAAAATGTTTCGTGATACATGAACTGCAGTAACGTGGCATTTTAGATACTACGATTTTTATGCAGGGCTGGGCCCCACCTCACGTGTGTCGCACAGTTACTTAGGCAACATTTCACGAATGAACGTCTTATAGGCCAACACTTCCCCTCTTCCCACCAGACCTCAACCTCTGTGACTTTTAGCTATGGGGTTTTCTCAAAAGCACTGTTTATGGTGATAATCTAAACAATTTGGCAGAAATGAAAAATGTGATACACTGACATGTCCGTAACATTCCTCCCGATATGCTAAGAGCTGCTGTTGAAAAATGCAGTAACAGGATTTAACTTGCTTTCGGAAAATGCTGGACGCTACATTGAACATGCTTTGTAACACGTTTCGGAAAATATTAAACACATTTTAAACAGATGTTTTCGTGTCTTATTTCATTTAAGAATCTTGTATACAGCGTCCATTTTTCCCCTGGTGATGAGTTTTTTTTGAACTATTTTTTTCCTCCGAAAATAAATTCCCATAACCTCCTTTACACGATTCCCAAGTTTGATAACATTTGGTACGGTAGTTTTCCTTTTATGACCATTTCAAATTGGAACTTTAATTATAACCACCATGTAAATTAAACTTTAAAAGTTTGACAGTTTGTTCAAGTCCCAGCTTTAAAAATATATATATAAATATAATCTTTTATATTAATCTTCTTAGAAAGAATGTTTTAAGAAGCTAATTTTTTCTCTCGCGTTATAGATTGTATAAAAAAACATGATCTTTAATATGATTTAGATTGTTTTCAGCCGATATAAGAATCGGGTCACTCGGTGGTGACAGAATAAACACTGCTGGACTGTTTTTATTTCTTTGTCATTTAGCAAAAAATCTTTTAATTAAAATATTTATCCTTTGGACTTTGCTCTATACTTTGTTTATAGTTAAAATGTCTAGAAAATGAAAAAGCTGTCTTCAGCTGAAACGCATTTTGATGCAATTGATATTTTAAAAAATTGACAAGAATGCAAAATTTATGGAAGTCTAGCAATCGAAAAATCTTAATTTTCTTGTGTGAGCACTGAAAATAACTGTAGAAGGAAAGAAGAAAATTAGGGAGAAAAGCAAGCAAAAATTTGCAGGAAAATTTGGCTCTTAGACATACCAAGATGTTTCAAAAAGTTGGACGCTTTTGAATATACTTTCATTTTACTTCAAAGAATTTAGGCGTTCAAAGAGAAAACAATTGGGCGTGTAGACCAGCAAATACCATCAATTGAACTTGTGTTATCAGAAAAGACAATATAGTTTAGATTATATGGTTGTATAAATTTAAATTACGTTATAGAACATCATATCGTATCATAAATGGAGAATCCCATGATTTTCTCATTCGAATTATTTGAAGATTCAGGAGTTTATCCAGTGATGTATGTGGATGTCACCTAAAGATGTTTTTTTTTCCTCCTGATGAAACAGCGGCCGAGCGATAAAGTCACTGAACGCTGGTAGTTCTGTCTGAGGTCCGAATCCCGCGAACGGGCTGGCTGCATGGGCATTTTCGTGGTTTTCCCCATGTGTAACGTGTATGCGAGCCAGTTTCCCTTACAAAGTCCTCCACGAAGGCATCCCTCCCCTTAGGCAGATAGCCCTAGTGTGCATAGTCATAATTAAATAAACCAAAACCTTTTGATGAAACCAGTCTTTCCTTTCATCTCATACCTTTAAATTGTTTAGCCTAGCTAAGACTGATAAAGGCTCTGACCAAATATTGATGAAATGGATTTAATTGAATTATTAAGTTACGTCAAAGCAGGGCTATCTGCCTAAAAGGAAGGATACCTTTGTGAAGAACTTTCTAAGGGAAATCAGATGGCATACACGGTACACATGAGAAAATCTACGAAAACGCCCATGCAACCGGCCTGTTTACCGACATTCGAACCCCGGAGTGAACTATCAGTGTTCAGCGACTTTACCGCTCGGCCGTTTGTGGTCCTTTATGAAATGGAAGGCGATAACTTTATTTAAAATGATTGTCAGAAACATCAAGATATTTCGAAAATTTGGATACTTTTTAATATACTTGCGGAATGCTTAAAGAAAAAGAGCAAGAATAAAGTAGAATGAAGAAAAAGAGCAAGAATAAAGTAGAATGCCTGAAGAAAAAGAGAAGAAAAAATACATTTTACGGTAAAATTTAGTATTTGTATTTTTTTTTTTTTTTAATTTAAAACTTTTTAATCTTATGATATTTGATTTTTACGATTTAAAAAAAAAAAAAAAAAAAAAAAAAAAAATTAACTAAAATATGAATAACATTTAAGAAGCCAAATGTAGGATAAAATTGTGTAAAGCAATGGGCACAATGATAAAACTGTTTAAAGCAGTGTATGCAAGTCATCCTAAGTTAAAATGTCGCAATCCTAAGTTAAATGTCTCTCTTATTTTTATATATATTTTTCTGAACGGAACATTGAAAGGCGTGTTAACTGTGCTTTACTGTATTTTCTCTTTTAAAATACGCAGTTTTCAAACGCATCGTAGTCTGGGTTACAAAGTTTTCCTCCGAAAGAAACGCAATTCAAATAAATAAAATCAAATTCTGGAAAATTTATATTAATAAATATATTTAAAATGCTCAATTCGAAGGAATAAATAGAAAATTTTAAAAACTTATCTGAAGAGACAATGCAACACAAACAATTAAAATAAAAGTATAAGAAATTTAAAAATTGCCTAAAATAATAACTATGACAAAAATATATATAAAGAAAACTATTTGAAAAAAAATAAATGCTGCACCTTTATTTACGCAGTTCAAATAGGTAAGTAGAAATTTTTAAAACAGTTATTCGAAAAAAAAAAAAAAAAAAAAAAAAAAACCATGCAACTTAAACAATTAAAATGAAATTCGAAAAAGAAAAAAATACTTAAAATAATAAGTTATAATTAAAAATATAATATAAAGAATATTATTTGGAAAAAAGGAACGATGGTGACTTTTTTTCCGCTCACAGGAAAGGAAACTAGGTTGCCATATATTAAGAATTTCTCCAAGTGAACTATTGTTGGCGCAAACTGACAAAAAAGTGCCAACATAAATTTGTGAATTTCTCCGTAAATTTCGCTCCAAATTTTACAAAATTTCATATTTAGGCGTAATTTGAGTCGTAGAATCGAAATATGTAAAAAAATTGGTATGTTATTTCAGAAAAAGTTCGATTTTGTGTCAAAATACCTATGTTAGAATAGTGCTATATATAAATCTAATATATATCCTAAGTCGCGCTTTCGAGACATGAAGAACGCAATTTGAATTTTGTCAATCGGCCCAGTAGATCGGGAGATATAGGACTGTCCCATTTTTTTTTTTTTTTTGAGCAGTGTACATAAGATCTTTGTAACAGAAAGGCAAATTGCCAAACGATCGTAAATTTAATTACACACCTGCTCGTAGCAACAGTTTGAGAGATTTCGAAATAGGACACGTCTTTTAAAAGTTCAGATTGAGTATTAACGTTTGGCAACATCCTCCAAATGTCAGCGGTTTTGGTGTGGTTGATTGACGTTTGTAAATAAACCTCTGTTTGAACTGAGGAAGAAGGATGGTAGGTAAGGCATACTTTTTTTAGGCAAATTAGTTATTACATTCCATTTGATTAAACTCTGAATTTATGCCCTGATTTTCTATTACCTTTAGAGTTAAGAGCGTAGTTTATATTCGGGGGACTGTTTGAGTAAATTTATTAAACACTGAAATTTGATTTTAACTTGTATTTATTTTTCTGCTATTTACAAGGAACTCAATAACAAATAATTATGATAAAAATAAATAAATAGTTTAATGAAATAAAAATTGTAAATACTTACTTCAGTTTTTTTGTTGTGTATGAAATAATATGGAACTCTTAAAATGAAATAATATATAATATTCAATATGAATTATTATGAATAATTCTGCTAGGGAAAAATATAAATAAAGGTGCACATTAAGTCATTTACTTTAATGTGTACCTTTATTTATATTTTTACCTTGCAGTAAAATCTTTGTTGGGTTTAAAAAAGTAAACACTCTACTACACAATAAGTAAATTTTTATTTAGTACCATAAATTTAAGTGCATTTTATGTTTCTAAAGTGCAGTATAATGTATCAGTCAGGTTGTTTGAATACAGTTGCAAATAATAAAAAGTACTTGCATGATTTACTAATATTGCAACCTCTAAAACAGTTATTACTCAACTAAAACCAGTTTTAGGATAAATTTCACTTACCTTTTCCATCTGTTTTTATACTTTAGTTTTGAATATAATTTATACTTGAGTTTTAAATATAATTTTCCATAGTTGTTTTTATACCGTTTTATTTCTTAAGAAAAAGCTTGAGCATATTTCGGTGCTAGTTTTTATATGTTATTAAATTTTATTAATTTTTATAACTAATGTTTGTTATCTTAACTACAAAAGCCTTATATTATGCTAACTTTTTTTTAATTATGAATGCTACAGGAAGTGAATCTAGAGGACAATGACTGTAACCTACAGTGCAGAAGTAGCCACTAGCAGAGGATTTGGATGTTTCTGGAAGTTATTATTTAGGTACATATATTTTCTGTAACTAGAAGCATTTGTTTTATAATTGCTATACTGATTTAATTATTTCATTATCATAATATTCAGAAATTAAAACTTGCTAACAGAATTTCTTTCTAGATCATTTAATTTTCTATTAGTTTGAACATGAACCTGAGTGTATTCTTTTTTAGGAAAATTTTAAAAAAAAATCTGAAATGTAATAATTTCTGCAATAATGAAAAGTATATATGAAAATTTAATTCTCATACCAAATTTCAAGGAATATGTTTGAAAATCTGCAAGTCTGTTCCATCATTATTGTATTTATCTGCTGAGTTCTTAAGAATCCAGCATTATTTTTTACTTGCAAGATATATTTCATCTCACAGTTTCAGTTGACCTTCATATCATCCGAGAAGGTTCTTCACAAATGTTTCAAAATGTAATCCTTCTTTGATAAATATATATGTCAATTGTAATTCTTTCTTTGAAAATTAGTAAAGTTTTTTTATTTCTTCTTCGTGCTGTTGGGAAATAGTTCCTTTTAGATATCATAGTTGTTTGCAAGTTCTTTTGTGGTATTGTGCATTTAAGTCTTTTAATTTGTGGTTCTGTATATTACTGTCATCATTTTGTAAGATTATCATTGAAATACTGATTGTCTGGAAGCATTTCTACCTCCTCTTGATAATGCTGAATCAAATTTTTATTGTAATTCTTCTTTCTTTATATACTTTTATATATTTGTCAATTGTAATCCTTAAATAAAGGGTTGCTAACCCTTTATTTAAGGTTAGTTAATGAAATGTAATTAATGAAAATGTAATGTTAATGAAAATGTAAGTGAAATGATAAAATACTTTGGTGAAAAATTCGGCTAATCTTTGGAATATGGTAACAGGTAGTTTGGCAACATTTTGGAGGCGATAAAGGTGGACTTTGGGAATAATGTGAGAAGTACTCAGTTCCAATTACACATTATTTTGTGTGAGGGAAATGAGAGATCATGAGATATGTCATGTGACATTAATGGACGAATCACTGTTTTTTAATCAGAAAAGGGGGTAAATTTGTAAACATATCTGCTGTACAGCTTTAGTTTCATTCTATGTTCTGTGAAACAATGTTGTTTAATATTTGGATCCCATGGCCCTATATAAAGTAAATCCGAAATTTTTATTGCGTTTTATGTGTAATTGAAAAGAATTGCTTAATTGCGGATAAGTATGAATGTCCAACATGTGGGTAATGAAATGAGATAAAAGAGAGATTGTGTGAAAGGAAGTATATTACAGATAAGTTTGAATGGCGGTGCAAGAAATCTGGTAAAAATGGACATTTTGTGATCCGCCATGCACTCAAGATTCTGTAGAAGATTAGGTAATTTAGTATTTTTAATTATTTGAGGATATTATTTTTATGCATAATAGTAATAAATTAATATGGTATTATTGGAAAATTGTTATTAGCAATGATTTAGTTTAAAGTAATTAGGATTGTAAGCTAATTTTTAGTAATTTAATGTATGTGCTTATTTATATTTTAAGTAGTGTTTTTTAATTTAATTATATTTTAATTTAATGATCGTGATTTTGAGAATTATATGTTTGTAGTATTTTGGAATACATTTGAGTAGAAGTAAATGTGCATGGAAAGAATTTAAGTATTTGTCACTAAGTATTTGGAACCATTTTTAATGTTTGCGTTAGAAATTGGCAGGTGAGGTTTATAATAGATAATTTAGAGGGAAAAGTTTTTGGATATTTTATTTATTTTATATGTGCAAATGTTCATCCTTGGAAAGGGTATATACTTTTTCGCGATCAGGTAATTTCATATATGTCCTTTTTACCGAATTTAAAGATTCACAAAATTTTCATGCATTTTTGTGAAATTTTTCTAATTTATGAGAAAAAAGCAGTGTACATGGATATAGTGCAGAGTGTGCGCAATGCCATTTTTGTGTAATTCTGGGATTTTTTTTAAGTAAAAATAAGTCGACGTGTACATGGTTTAATTATATTTTAATTAAATGATAGTTATTTTGTGAATTATATGTTTGTAGCAATTTGGTATACGTTTCAGTGGAAGTAAACGTGCATGGGAATAATTCAAATATTTGAGACTAAGTACTTGTAACCATTTTTAATGTTTTGTTATAGATTCGTTGGTGACATTTATAATAGATAATTTAGAGGTAAAAGTTTTTGGATGTTTTTTTTTTAAGTAAAAATAAGTCGACGTGTACATGGTTACTGTGTATGTGCGATTTTGAAAAACGCGGCAAGGAGCTTGCGATTCTGCACTTTTTCCCAATTTTGCAGTTAATATTTATCATGATTAAACAGTTTTGTTCCATAAAATTTCTAGCATAAGTGTAATTCGGCTGTTGGAAAAAGTGTTGAGTAAATAAAAAGAAAAGAAAACATGTCTTTACTTTGTGAAGACAAAATGGCGGCGAAAAAAAAATAGAGGGTTGCTGTAGCAGAGTTGGTCGCCAAATTTTCGCCAAAAAATCGCTAAGTTACCATAATCCAAAGATTAACCAAAAATTCAAATAAAAATTTTTACCCTTAAACAAATAGCATTTAATCCAAAGAATTTAAAACATAAATTATAAAACTTAATTAAAACTCGCAAGAAGCAATGAAAAACTTCGAGCACTTTCATTAGAAGACAATTGAAACTATGAAGATTGTTACAGTAATGACATATAGGTTTGTCGTTTTGGCTTCATTGGCGAAACTAAAATACCTTAGCGAGAAAGTAATTACTTAAAAGGCTAAAAATTGGAACAAAAGAGGGAATTTTGAAACCAAAAGGAAAAAAACTTCTATGAACATTTTAATTTTGACAAAGGAAAAGATTACTTTACAAATTAAGTAAATTCCCACTCTTTTAAAAGAAATTAAATGTGCCTCCTCCTGATGAAGTGGCATTAAAGTTGATTGAATTCCTCTTCCATTATGTTTGTTTTTCTTTAAATTTCGTTAATTTTTTTTTAATTGGGGTATTGCTTGTTTGAAAAGTTTGGTTTTAACATTTTTAAAATTCTTTATTGTGTTTATAGTATTACAGTCAAAAGTCGTTAATTCGGAGAATCATAATCTGGAATGATCTATAATCCGGACCTCAAAGCTACAAACTTTCTGCGCATGCGTCGCGTTGACGCCGCGGCGCGCAATGAATTGGAAATTTATCTGTCAACACTATCCTTATCTTCAGGGCAGATGTTTTTATTTTATTTGGCTTATAATCCCTTACTAAATGTAGTATTTCATCTCGATGTACTCCGTCTTTGATATAATTTAAATAAAATTCCTCGTCATTATAATTCGCTTTCGATAGTGAAGAAAGTGACACAGAGGTTATTGAAAACAAAAACATTTCAATTGACAAATTAGTCGGTATTCTGGACACAGCAATTATAGGACTTCAACAGTGGAACTTTGTAACTGAAGAAGAAATTATGTCTGTTTATAGAATTAAAGAGAAAGTATTATCACATAAAGCGAAGCAACTTAAACTACTTACATTGAAAGAATTGTTTAATAAAGTAAACAAATAAATATTAAGCTTTTTTTTTTTTTTTTGTAAATTTTGATACCCTTTAGATCATAATTGTTCTTTATTTCATAAATTACGGTTTCATATTTTTAATTTTATAATTTCTGCATGCCATCTTACCAGATTTAAACTGATGATCTATAATCCGGAAACATCGATAATCCGGAATCGCCAAAGTCCTGACGAGTCCGGATTAACGACTTTCGACTGTATTTGAAATTTATTAATTATGAATTTCAATTTTTTGTCTTTTTGAAAAATTAGTTTTAAATTTCTTACTTTATGTCTTTACTGAAAACTTGTCAGCAGCTTAATGCAGGAAATACTAGGTATGTTTATATTTTGTTTTAAAAAATTGTTTTACATTGTTGTGTAGTTAAATATTGATCCAAAACACCAGCGTCCAAGCGGTAAAGTCGCTGAACACAGGTAGTTTGGTCCAAGGTTCGAATCCTGTGAACAGGCTGGCTGCATAGGCATTTTCGTGATTTTCCCCATGTGTAACTTGTATATGAGTCAGTTTTCCTTAGAAAGTCCTCAAAGAAGGTATAGTTCCCTTTAGGCAGATAGCCATCGAGGCTGTGCTGTAATCATATAAACTAAATATTGATCCATGTTGAGTGTTTTGTGCATCAAAAACTGTTCTCAGCATAAATAATTACTATTAATAATGATTAAATAACTTTTAATTTTTATTTACTTTCATTTTCTTTTCTACTCTTCTGTTATCAGGGGACTGGATTCAGAAATGTACATAGTACAAAGTCCATAATCCAAACTCGTTGGGACTTCGGCGATTCCGGATTAACGGTTTTTTCCGGATTATAGATCATCAATTTAAATCTGGTAAGATGGCATGCAGAAATTATACAATTAAAAATATGAAACCGTAATTTATGAAATAAAGAGCAATTATGATCTAAAGGGTATCAAAATTTACAAAAAAAAAAGCTTAATATTTATTTGTTTACTTTATTAAACATTTCTTTCAATGTAAGTTGTTTAAGATGCTTCCACAAAAAATTCCTTTTTCTTGTGTCATCCAATGCCATACTCCTCGCCTAATTTTGAGACGGATATGCCGTTATCCATTTTTTGAAGCAATTCCACTTTTTGTTTGATGGACATCCAAACATGGTTTCGCTTTGTAGATCCTTTGGCAGCTTCAGAATTGGAAACTCTTTTTTGACATAATCGAAAGTTCAAGCTTACTTTTTATAAATTTGCTCTAACAACCTGTAAAAAATAATAAGCCGGATCCAATTAAAAGATTAAGGAACAGCGCAATCTGCAACATTAACTGAAATGCCTTAGATAATTTTAGCCTAGCTTGTACCGTCCGTTGTACATTAAACGTGCATGCATAAACAAATTATGCGTTTACGCATGCGCATAAAGTTTGTAGCTTTGAGGTCCGGATTATAGATCATTCCGGATTATGGATGTCCAGATTACAG